GCATACATGTACATATATATTAACAACTAATCTTTCATTAAAGCCATCGCATACATGTACATATATATTAACAACTTATCTTTCATTAAAGCCATTACATACATGTACATATATATTAGCAACTAATCTTTCATTAAAGCCATCACATACATGTACATATATATTAGCAACTTATCTTTCTTTAAAGCCATCACATACATGTACAGATATATTAACAACTTGTCTTTCATTAAAGCCATCACATACGTGTACATATATATTAGCAACTTATCTTTCTTTAAAGCCATCACATACATACTTCATAATTAGTTTGTCAAGGCCATTCCAAAATACACAAGATTAAAGTTTGTTCCTGTGTTCACATAGTCAAAACATTATTATTTAGGCAGAACCTGATATGCATACTTTAATAAGTCAATGATAGTGGTGATTATGTAATTTGGTGTGTTTTCATATTGTAGTTAGACCAGCCAAACATGGGTATTAAAATTAGGGCAGCCCTAACATTCCTTCTCAGGTGACTATATATTAATAGTCAAAGCAATCACACTTGTGGTCTTTAAATCAAAAATATAATTTTTTTATAATTTTTTCTTTCCTTGAATTATAATTGATAAGACATAATCAAGACTATTATTACACACATACCACACAATTTCGTTTGTTATCACACAAGACATAGTCAAGACTATTATAGCCCAGAGTCTGGCCGTTGATTTCTAACCAATGCCCAGTGAAACGCGCCTGAAAATTCAAATTGGATTATTCAAATTAGCAGAATGTGGTTGTGGCAGCAGTTAGATAAGACAGGGCGATCCATCAAATTTTGACAGGGGCCTGTGGTTGGCTATTATTTTTAATGGCACTCACTACGTCACGTGTGCAAAATGCGTGCGATTATGTAAATTATATTTACGTTCAGACTCCTTCCTACTTCTTTTTCTCTCTTGTTCGAAATTGAAACCAGGATCACATGGGGATGCTTTGACGTAGTGTTGTTAGCTTCATACCACCTGTATTCGCCATTTACATAATCGCACAGATTCCTGTGCTAGATCCAGCTCGTTTCACTGGGCGGTGATTACGGGCAGATATGCAAAGTATCACAGCCAAGTCTCTGGGATAAGACTATTATTACACAGGTACTACCACACAATTTCGTTTGTTATGACACTATAATAGTCATGCTTCATTCATGCCCTGTTTCCTTGGCAACATTACAAATATACCAAGAGAGAGGTCAATTCACATGTTATGTGTAGATTGTGTAAACTTTAATAGAATTGCATGCCAGACAAATACATGTCTGTTATATGGAATGCAAACACATTCAAAGTTACAGTAGAGTGACCAGTAATCACGAAATAAAACATTCATTATCTAATTATTTTTAGTTTGATGTTTTTACATACCGGTAGACATTTTTCCAAAAAATAAATAAATGAAAACCGTGAAGTGCATATAGTGGGCAGTCAGACAGAGGCACAACATTACTAACATTATAAAAAAAAATATAAAAGTTACAAAAATGTATGAAGTCTAATAAATTCATTCAACTCTAACACATGTAGATATAAAATAGTATATTATACACCACAATCATTGGACCTACCTTGTTGAGTTGTAACCATGGGAATATTTTCCAAATAGTTTCATATCTGAATTTATTAGAGAAAACAAAGACTGTTAAAAAATATTTAATATATTCCAATAAGTACATGTACTTTGTTCTTATGCAACCATGTTTTTATTTTGCAGATATAGTATCACAGATTACAGAGGAGAAATACTGTAGAGATGTTTTTATTAACACAATAAGTCATATTTTCATAAATTCGTGCAAGTTCAGGTTTATAATGAAGATGCACTTCTAATAGAACAATTATACATTGATGATAATCACTAATAGTGTATCCATTAAATCAATGAGCAGTGAATAAATAAACTAACTTTTAATTTTAGTGTTAAATGCATCATGTTTATTTTAAATAC